TATATCTCTTCTGGATATTTACTATAAACAGAGTCATACAACATGTGACCTTTTGTGTCTGGCTTCTTTCACTTAGCCTAATGTTTTCAAGGTTCATCCATGAAGCAGCATGAAACTATTTCATTCACCTTTATGGTTGAATAATATTCCATTGTATGCATAGACCACATTTTATTAATCCATTCACCTGCTGATGGATATTTGGGTTGTTCCCACTTTTTGGTTATTATGAATAATGTTGCTGTAAACATTTGTGTACAAGTTTTTGTGCAGACATGTGTTTTCAATTCTCTTGTGTTTACAGCTAGGGAGTGGAAGTGCTGGGTCCTATGGCAACTACATGATTAACTTTTTGAGAAATTACCAAACTGCTTCCCAGAGATGTATGAGGGCTCCAACTTTTCTGCATCTTTGAGAACATTTGTTATTGGCCATCTTTTTAAAAAGTTTTAGCCGTTCCAGTGGGGGTGACGGTCTACTATTTTCTTCTTTGTCATTTTTTTGCAGTTTCATTGTTTGGAATTTCTAAAAGGTATTTATTGAAGTCGTTCAATCTACTCTTGTCACTTACCTTATTTTTCAATTAAAAAAATTCTTTGTTTTGCTATGGATGAATTTCTCACTGTTAACTTTCTGTTATCTAATGCAGTGTTTAACTGTGTAGAATCTATCCTGTTTAGTTTTTTGCCTAATAACAGTGTACCTCATTTATTGCTAACACATTTTAATTTCATGATTTCTTGCTCTTTTTTTTGTTAATGGATGGCCTTCCTGCCTTTATCTCTTTGAAAATCTTGAAATACTTGTTTTAAACTTCCTTCTCAGATGATCTTAGTATCTGCATCGCATCATGAGTGAAGTCATTATTGTTGCATTTATTGGCTTTCTTAATGTTATTTTCCTTATATAATACAGAACTTTATAGGGCTACTCGTATCAAATGGAAGTATTTGCTTCTCTCTTCCTCATTCTCACTTATTTAACAGTTTTGGTTCAGAAATAGAATTTATCTGAGGCCACTTCCCCATGATGAAGTAAATTGTATTGCGAATCTAGTGGCTAAGCCTGTAGGTGGCTTTGCCCAGGTCCTGGTTCTTCAACTGTTATCTCCTTACTACTACCACCCCGAGTAACCAGCGGTCCTAGTCAGCAATCTTGACTTTTTCCCAGCCTTCTTCAACAGATGGGAGGACCTGCGCATTCTATGAACGGCAGGGAGCCCCCGGGGAGACCCGGGGGACTGCGAGGAGACAGCTGCTGTACTAAACACGCTGCTGGTGTTCTCAATACGAAAGGATGCGGCGAGAACAACATAAAGCGTGTAGGGTATTTTGCCAGTGATGCCACGGAGTCCATCTCTGGGCAGGGTTATAGGCACATCGTGGAGACTGAAACAGGGAGGTAAAAAAGTAACTCCTGAGGGTATTTTATAGTTTAAAAGAACTTATGTATTTATTTTGTGGTTTAAGACCATTTACCACAGAGCAAAAAATAGTTCAGACACATAACTTGATTTGAAAAGCAAGAGAGTAACTAAGGATATCCAAGCGGTCAGTAAGCATCTAACATGATGTCTAACTTGACTGGTAATTAAGGAAATGTAAATTAAAACGATCACTGTTTCATCATACAGATTTCACATGTTTGTCGTAGACGATTGAGAAAGTGAAGAAGAGTATTCAGGGGCTATGCAGTTAGTTTCTGACTCATGAGAAACAGCCATCAGGACAAGGAATCCTTCCCTGGACCTTCTCAGCCTCTGACCAGGACTGAAGCCCACAGACAGTATCTCATCCCTGCGAAGCCTCGGGTGAGGGACACCTGGTCCCCGAGAGGCTCGGGTGAGGGACACCTGGTCCCCCAGAGGCTTGGGTGAGGGACACCTGGTCCCTGAGAGGCTCAGCTGAGATATCCAGGTGAGGCGGGGCAAGGTGGAGAGAAGCCCACGAGGAACAACTGGGGGACTTGTGATAGTCTAGCTGACCCTGTGAGCGCTGACTGTGCTGGGCCTTAAGCACCGGTATATGTTGAAATGTGAACTTATTCCCATAAGCTAATGAGGCGTAGATGAGGAGAGTGTGGCAGGAGAGTTTCAGGTCACAGTGCTGGGATTTCAACCCGGGCAGCCTGGCCTCGGAGTTCACATGTTGCTAATTCTCAGGAGGAACCCAGGCCAGCACTCAGGCTTGGAGGAGAACTGGGGAGGCCCAGGTGAGGGGAACTGAGGTGAAGAGTCCCAGTCCCGGGAAAGGTACAGAGTGGAGCAGCAGCGCCCTCTGCAGTTCGTGCGGATCATCCTGAAAGGTGCATGACGTTTTCCAGGAGAGGCTCTAAGTGAGCTGCAGCTTTGAGTTCACCTTACCCAAGGCTCTAGCGCATTTAACCCGAAGTCCCAGTCCTGAACTTGTCCTAGCCCTGGTCCTCCCATGGTTTTGGAGCCCGGACACGTGTGCTGAGCACACGCTGAGTGCCACAGCCAGAGAACCCTCACCTGAGTTTAAAACAGCATCCCAGGTGACTCTTAGGCAAATACCCCTCAGCACTTAAATAGGAAATTCTTGAAAAGCAAAGCCTTTAGCAGGTAGAGCTGTGAAAGTCTCATGATGGGATTTCAGACTGAAGGCTGGACAGCACGGGGGACAACTGGGGACATGGGGAGGCTGCACAGCACCGCCCGAGGCGTGTTCTGTGCGCAGCCACCCTTGCTCACTGCACGATAGGGGCCTGGGCCGGGACCTGGCTTTGTTTGACATTTAGCGCAGGAGCCGGTGGCCCCACAGTCAGCGAAAGGGAAGGAGCCATCTTGCCCCATGGGCTGTTTTCTTTCCCCTTTCTTCCTCCTCCTCCTGCTGTTTCCCCGGCTCCTCCTCCGTTCCTTCCCTCCCTAAACATTAGTGGTGCGCCTCTAGGCTCTCAATTCACCACGTATGAAGGGCTGAGGAAACAGAAGAGTGAGTGACGCTGTCCCATCCCAGGCACTGCTGGGCCCTTGGCAGACACCACGGAGGGTGGAAGCGAGGGCCAGACACTCGTGTGTTAACCACCCTGAGTGTCGGTCTACACAGCCACCTCAAATAGAAATGAAAGGGCTCCTCGGGGAGAAAAGCAGTGTCTTCATTTGACTGTGTTACTTTCTGGGACATGCTGGGTGATGAGCTCTGTATGTACACATGCTGTGTTATTGTGAGATAATATTGGGTTACTGTCTTCTCAGGCAGGGACAAGTCATTCTACTCTTACTGTCTCTGGGGTGTAGGCTGGATTTCTTGTTTTTAAGATTTGGGAATCCTTAGTTCTAGGGG